TCACAAGGGTTTGCTCTCCATGAATCTCCTCTCTGCAGYATTAGCTCGAAACAGCAAGCACAAAGTGGATGTGAATCCAGGGGGTCCCTGAGTCTCCCAGCCCARATACAACTGCTCCTCTGCCTCCTGGACATCCAGGCCTGGGATGCAGAAAACTGCTGGGGCTGCTCCAGCAGCACCAGGGAGATGCTCAGGCCTGGGGCTGCCCTGGCTGCCTCCACTCCCACTGTGCTCCCTGGAAACAATTCCTGTCCTCCACAGGCAATAGAAGGATCATTTCAACACCCTTGGTTACACTTGTTGGAATACCACCCCCTCCCAGAAACACAGCCCCCCACTCGCCAAGACAGTTTGTAGGACACCCATGAGTAACTGGCAAAATCGGGCTCTAGGGATTCAGGAGCATTTGCTGTCAGCACCAGGAACCAAACTCCTGCCAAAAGAGCATTCAAAACAAGCAGGCTTCATTTTGAGGTGGTGAAAAAAACATAACTCACTGGCAAAGACAGGATGGCAAAAGTATGCCACTGACTGTCAGATGCCTAAAGGCATCAATAAAATAATGCTAACAATCAAAAGTTATCTTACAAAACAAGAGAAGAAGCCTCTCTTGATTTAAAGGATTGCCTCTGGACATTAAATAACAGCATCTGTTCTCCACGCTGAGCACTTGAGTTTGCTTTGCTTTCCATGCTTGAGGAGCTGGGGACGAAAGAGGACAGGACAAGACAGCTGAGACAGTTGAAGCTAGGAAGATTCCATGGCAGTTCTAAGGAGCAGTTCCCCAGATCTCATTGAGAGCAGAGGGAGCAAACTCCAATGCATTATTTAAGATTACTCTCACTCTGCTGACCCTTTCTAGACGCAGATCAATCGAGCAGCCTCTGCCAGAAAGAGACTTTCATATGAAAAATCCTGAAATAGAACTCAGAGATGCTGAGAGGAAATAACACAGCCCAAGGGAATAYCTGCATACCATGGTACAATAAAGCAGTCCCTGAGGGGTTAGCAGATGGCAGTGGAGGGAGGAAAACAATTCACAGATTCCCAGCTTCTTCATAGCAGTCAGCCACCTCTAGGACATAAAGCTTGGGCACAKAATCACCTCATGGATAGTCCATCACACAAACACTTCCATGCACAGTCACAAAGTCGTATTTCATTAAAAGATGGKTTTCTGCATTTCTTTATGCCTCGCCTTACCCCAGCACCCACAAGCCACAGCTGACTGCMTGGCAGAGTGTCAGTGAGGATCAAGAGGACTGCTCCCCTTGGCTGGTTTCCTGTTGCACTTTGCTACACAAGCTCAGGCTATTTCTCTGAACCATCTTCCACTCATCTTTCTGCTGGACAATTCAGCTGGGAGGCCTGGGAGGTTGGGATTACCATGGAGATGTTTTGTGCCATGCCTGGCACAGTAGGTGATCGAAACATTTGGAGCTTTTTCTACTCAAGGTGCATTCAAGCGTGTATTAACCTGCTCATAAGAATTTCTTGAAGCAGCTGACAGATAGGTATTTTGTTTATCAAGAGAGAAAACATATTCTTTAAGGTTTGGTGGCATGCTGTGCATAGGGTATATACAAGCCCAGTTGTAGATAAATGTTTGTGCATGCATATATGTAGAGAGAGATGATTGATGGATAGACAGTTCATGAGAGAGTCACAATTCATTTCTCCATGCTGTGATAATACAGGTACATAGATACAACRTTCTCAGGCTCCCTAAGACAGACTGCAGCTTCTAAATATTAAAATATATCAATACACAGGACAGKTAATTAGTACAAAGGAGTAATCTTCTCTTTCATTTGCCATTTTCCTTTAGAAATATCTTTTCTTATTATTTGCACACAACTGCCTTTATACTTTGATTACAGCTACTCATTTAATAGTAAAAAAGACAACAAAACAGAGCCCATTTAATCTATGGCATGATAATCACAGTGTGCATATTTCTGGCATGTTGCAAAACATTGGGAATCCCTGGCCAGGTGTCATCAAGTGGAATGGAAAATATTCACAATATTCAACCAAGAGGTATACTTTTAGACCGGCTGACTAAATGTGTTTTCCTCAACTGAYCTTTCTGCTGGAAGTTTTCCCATGGCCTGGTTTCTGCTTTTTGACCTGATGGAGTACTGACCAACAGCACAGTGTGGGAATAATGGAAGTCAGGAAGTTGTAGTTAACCATTCAGGAAAAACTGAAGACTGAAACCTAGCTGCAGAGCTAACATGGCAAATTATCTGTAGATGCTAACTAACTTTCCAGCCATGATGGCCATATTTCAATCCACATAAAAGAAAACTGGACCCATAGTTGCATGGAACCAGAAGCATTTGCATGGTCTTTTCTTGCTGTGACCACTGGTCTTCAGTGATAATCAAGGTTTCCTGTTAGTTTTTCATTCTTAGTCTTCTTTAGATAATTCAGTGGCCTTCTAAAAACTGTTCACTGTCCCTTTATGTTCCCAACCATTAAAAAGTGACAAAAATAAGTAGGACTGTGTGTGGTAACTAAGTATATGAGGGGAAGGTTTAAGAGAAAGGAACCTACAGTGCTTTTCCTATTCCATCCCTTCCCCACCCTCTGTGTCTGACCAGTCTGTACATAAATACATCTGCCTTTGCTGTTAATCAGTTCTTCTTACGTGCATATATGCAGCACATCTGGACAGTAATTATCAAGGSAGTCATATGCCTGAAATAGGAATGATCATCAGCCAAATCAGCATCTGGAGATATTTTCATTAGACTTCTACTTACTACCAATAATCACATGCAGAAAACTTTCTGTTGGACTTCTGTCTCCTGAAAAGCAAGAGTTTTCAGCAGAGACAGGCTAAAGGGTCTTCAGGTTATGCTGTGTTGTGCACACATATTCCAATCAAAATATGAAATACAAATATGCCTCCCTGCTTATTGATCCTGTTTCCAAAGCGATCTCCTGTTTGAGCSTTCTCTTGCCCACTAAGTTCCCTCAGATAACAGCAGCTGCACCTACAGGTCAGTCAGAGTAGTATCCACATGGCTACTTTGTATCCATCTGTTTGACTTTTGACTTTCAGCAACGATGAAAGGTCAATCTTTGCAGTATCCATATGGCTGCTTTGCTGCCTCCTTCCCATTTTTTTCACCTGTGTATCTGCTTGATGCTTTGTTGCTCTGGTTATGTGTGGAACTGGAGATCCAGCGGCAGCCAGGGGTGAGGTCCTGCTGTGCCAGCTGCCGGTTTGTGGTTTGGCTATGAAAKCACCTTGGAGCTGGTCATCACAAGACAACAATCACAAACCCAGGTCCTGGAGGAAAAAAGGTCCTTTTCTGCAGGCAGGATTTTCAGAGGGGACTCTGATGCATTGTAGAAAAYATCTAGCAGAACAACCACCTCTAAGAAAGGATTTCCTTTTTGTTCGCTATGAAAAATATAATTGGTCTGCCTCCAAATCCATCTGTCTACAAGAGGTTGACAGATATACTTCCTATCAAAAACCTCAGATGTTGTTTTTCCCTTTATAGTTCAAGCACCTTTATATCAGGCTTAAGGCCTCAAAGCATTAAAAAGGACTCACCTCACTTCCTTTGCTTTCAATTTCTCTTCATAAAGCCATTTATCTTGCAGCATTTTTAAGAGAATCAATAAAAAAGACTACAAGGATGCCTCATGCTTGCAAAGCTTTTGGTACAAACATGTAGGTTAWATGGGACCTTTTATGAAGATCTATCCATAGCAACTTAATGCCTTTACATTTATTTCCTCACATTTACTTCCAGCAGTTATATTGCTTTTTTATTACTGAAGATTCCTGATATCAACAATCCTCCTCCTTCTTTTTAGATTTCTACYAATAACCACCAGCAATGGGATTTTGCAAGTTAAACAGTGATATAAAAATTTCTGTCAAATCCATGGGATATATTTCTGTGCTTTTACTACAGTTCAAAGACAAAATTTCCTGCTGTGTTCAATATGTRTACTACATTGGCTAATTGTGGTACGATTCATGCAAAAAAAATCCACAAAACAAAACAAAGTACATTTTAAAGCATGTAAGCAGTAAACCAGTAACCTCCAGATCCTCATGTGCCTTAAAGGTCATTCCCTGCAGAGAGTAGAAAGCAACTAAGTTGCTTAAAAGGTGAGTTCTTTTTCCTGTGTAACAAATGAAAGAAAATACTGCTCATCAGAGAGCAGCCACTTCCCTGAAGCCAATCTGAGTGACTAAACCATGTTTTTCAGGTTTTAAACGTTTCCCTTTAATGGTCTCCCGAGTCCTTGACTGCCTTAAGAAGCCTGACCCATTCTTACGCTGGTATTTTTTTCTTGCAAGCTGCAGGAAAAAACCTGAAGTTTTTTACACCCATAAAAATGGAATTTACTGCTTACAGAGCCTATTTTTGAACTTTTGTGATAAATCACTTTGAATTGCGGCCAGAGATGAATGAAGGATTGAAGAAGGAAGAATCTTCTGACATTATTCTCACTATGTCAGTTACTAATTTTTTGCTTTTGGACTTYATAATCCCTGCAACATCCAAGCACTTTTCCTGTGTCTTGGACTTCTGTACTTCTGTTTTTAAATGGTCTTAAGTTAGGTTATGAGTAGAAAATATAGAATCAGGTACACATACACAACATTGAGAAGGATGGGGAGTGTAAGTCAAGAAGAAATACTAGGAAAGAGACTGAAAGCTAACAAACAAATAAGTTTCCCTCCCTCAGTGAACATCGCAGTAGATTTCAGTCTCTGGCTTGTAACACCGTGTATTCTAAATAAAAACTAGAAAAAACTGAAACATACCACAATCCCATATTACTTTCAGCTGAAAGTATAGTGCCATATTACCTTTTGCTTTGAGTCCCTTAAAGCACATCATACAGACGGACCAGTGGCGCTGCTTATTTCACCATTAATACTGATATACACCCCTGTAAATAACTCAGATCAAACAAAAAATGTTTTTTTGGATATTCTTAATATGAATTTCTTTTCATTTATTTAATACAGTCCCCAAGTAATTTAGGAGTTGTGGTGGAAAAGCAGAAAACATAAGGATTATGATAATGGCTCAATGCCTAAAATTAATTTGGTCCACAATTCATTTTAATTCCTTTACCAATTGTATGTCTTTGTTAACCTTTAGTCTTTTACACAGATGGAGGAAGGAGCTCAGAATGCAGAATAAAGAAGGAAGAAGTGGAAGGAAAACATCAGGTATATAATCAGAGCACGATGTACTGTTAAAATCAGCAGGAGTGGGATGCATACGGAGAAGGGAGCATGAACACCAAGAAAGAACATTAATGATAACAATGTGCAAGCCAGGAAAGAAAATCAGTTTAATGTTCTAATTCTGAAGAATCTATTTAAACCAAAACTCTTTATACTGTGTACATATAGTGGATGACCGGATATACTTCTGCCATTATGAACATACACAGCTATCTCTGTGGATTTCAGCATGCATATATGTATATAAATATGCACATATGTATGTATTTCCACAGTTTCTTTGAAAGTTACACAGTTAAATGCAGTCCTTTTGAACAATCAAAAACAACAAAGCAATCAGAGGCTGAGTGGCCATACGCATACACACACGTTTAAGGGTAAATCTGCCAAATTACAAATTTTAGGGACTTAAATATCACAAAGATCAATTAGAATAGAAATCAACAGCAGCTGCAGTTTAATCCTGCAATATTCCATCAGAGGCAGCTCTGCCAGTGATGCTGTGAGTGCAGGACTGGCATCCAGCCACGGCCCAGAACACCTTTCCTTATGGTTTAAGTRGCAAAAAAAGGGGACTCAGCTAAGAGTGAATGTTCCCCTCCACTGTCACAAACATTTGTTCTTTTTCCTGCTATATTTACCCACTTCTCACTGCAGTCTGGACTCTGAAATGGAGCATATCCACATGCCTATGTACTACAATACCTTCAGCAGTGTCCTCCAAAACACCCCTGTACTTGGCTGCTAGCCTGAAGAAGGCACCTTCCCCCTCTGTGCCATTTCCAGCTGTTGCTGACACCCTGTTACAGCTGAAGACATGGCTCTGAAGCCTGCAGCTGTTCCTCAAAGTACAGCAGCTGATCCACTTCAAAACAGTCACTTGCTCTAGGAACAAGTTTCTCCAAACCTCTCCTGATCTCCTCCTCACTGGCATTCTGCAGTCTTGCTTGTTTGAGCCAGCTGTACACAGCCTCAAATGCCTCCACTCCCAGCTTCCCAATGGCAGATCTGTGGATAAATATTATATGAAAAGTTTAGTAAAAGTTAATTCATGTTAAGTAGTAACACAGGCAATAACTACTACAGATTTTTCCTAAATTTTGTAGGTTTGATTAAAATGATATCATGATGCACCTTGTTTGTCTGAGACAGYAAAAGGACCTAAAGTTTCCTGGAGAATTTCTCCATGATTGATTGTTATACAAAGAGCCCAAGAGTAAAATCCTGGCCATAGTAAAGTCATGGGAAGCATGGCCATCATCGTTATTGCATTCAAGGATCCCCTCCATGCTGAGTCTGACAGACAAAATTTTATCTACAGTAAATCTGTAAACACACATGTATTACTGCCTCTGGATTTCATCAAAACCAAAAGGAGCAAGTCGGGCAAACACTAGTGGCATTTTCTATGAGCACACTTTGTTATTCATTGTTTTATTTTAGTTTCTATCAAATACAAGAAAACCATTGTACAAGCTCAGCATGAGCAAACTTGACACTTTTTTTCTTTTCTAYAGTGCTCTCCTTTTATCATGACACAGATCTGTAATTCAGTGACAAAACACACACTCACAGCATGTTAATGTTGATTTATAAAAAAGACCCATTTGAACACTGCAAGACAATGAACAGAATTTCATCTTTCCAAAGGAAAACATTTAAATTCATGTATCACAGGTATCATAAAGTTTTTCACTCAGTGATGGCTTCATAACATTTTCATGAAAGTTCCAGGGTAATTTTCCTTCAGTGTATCAGCGACTACCGGCCTACTTTTCACATTTCTGTCAGAGGATTTGTTTTTTTCACTAAACCTTTAGCTGTTAGAGCAGYTGAGACTTGGTTGCCTTTTAGACAAAAAGGAGCTACTTGGAAGGGAACCATGTCATGTGGAGTCTACAGTCGGGTCCACAGCCAGAGCCTGAGGCAGCATGAGCTGGGACACCCTCAGCTTGTGGCTGAACCAAGGATGAGCTGTACAGGGGCAGAGAAAGGAATCAGAGGTGTCTCCTGGTGCCAGTTAAGGCTTAAAATTCCAGTAAGTGTGCATGTAGGTTTAGAGGGATTGGGGACACTTCCCACAGTAGTTTGTATGGTTAAAGCTGCCTCCCAACAACAACACATACTCCAGTTGTATTTTTTTGCTGGTTTTGTACTGATTTTGCTATGTGTCTAATACCAGTGCAAGGTCAATTGTTCTCACCGTGTAGCATGATCAGCCTAACAGTGTAGTTGCTTTTCATCCTGTTATTGCTGAGGAATAAYATCATCATAGTGAAATGCCAGCCAGTAAGAGCTTCACATTATGTAAATTCCTTCATTCTTAGGAAAACATTGCAAACAATTTTAGTTTATTGCTTATCAAACTTCTGCTCCCATCCCACTTGCTCTTTGCTTTTATAACACCTCGGTCACGCCAAGACATAACTTCTGACCTCACCTCTCCTGCTGGCTCCTGGCACAGAGGCAGATTGGAAAATTGTGGCAGAGAAAGCCAAGACCCAGGATCAGAAGTCACAAGATGGACGCTCTACAGGTCCAGACCTGACTCAGTCCTGCTTTCTGTAACTAGAAAATGCCTTTTTCTTTTCTAACAAATAGTGTTGTTTAGCAGAAAATAAAAACTGTTGAAAATAATTAATTCTCAGACACTGGAAGCCTAGAGATTGGATTACCACTCAAAGCTAAATGGAGATTTGCTTGACAAATAATGTACATTTCTTCACAAAACATCATCAAAAATATCACTATTTCTCTCCAACAGTTAAAAATCAATACATGAGCAGCTATCTTGAAATCACTGCTACTTCATCGGTGCCTTTAATGACTCCTCTTTCCATCTTAGACAAGTGTGTTTAATTTTTTGGCAGTCCTGTCTATTTAAAGATGAAAAAWTAAGCAAATGTGTACCTTGGGAGTACTGCTTCTGCTAATAAATGTGACCTGCAGACTTGAATCTTCTCTGTTCAGCTTGGCAGAGCGTGCTAATCAGCTAATCTCTATAATAGCTGATACAATAGAATTAAGGGGGAAATGCTTTGAAAATTGAAAATTACAGGTTAGGTAACAAAAATTATAACCTGCTYTTACAAAAGAAGACATCAGGCGCTGTTTGGACTTGAGATCTGCATTAATATGACTCTGCTACCACATCATGCATTGCAGAGACAGAGGTGGGGGAATCTCAGAGAGTAAATGTCAAAGAGGCGTCACTGAGTGAATCTMTCATCCAGATGGAGGGAGGGGGAAGGCACTCCCTGGAAAGTGAGGTTTGTCCATTATGACCGTGATCCTGTGCTAGGGGATATTTGTCCATCCATAAGAAATCCTACAGAGGTAATTACAGATTGCTATTTCACATGAAATATGGGATACTGCTCTGTAGTTTTGAAAAGAATAAAAGCCTTAAAACCAAATGTGCTGTGAGAACAAGTGCAGAACTCCCATTTACAGTCCCATTCGGCCATCTATGTTTTCTGATTTACTGACATTTACTCTCTTTGTGCTATCCTATAGCTCACTCACCTACAAACTCACTGTGAGTCATCATCTCTTTCTCAGCCAAGATGTCACAAGAAAAGGGGATACCTGACATCTGGGGTTTCATTACTATGACAAAATTTGTGGGCCAGACCTCCAACCCACACTGCCTTAAATAGCTTTTCAGTGTGCTGAAATCAGAGGAGTTTCATCGAGCTCTACCAAGCAAGGTTCTGACTCAGATTTTTCTTTCTCTCATCTCACTTTGTTACAGAGTCTTAAATGGAGTGATTCTTTGAGCTCAACTGCCTTCACTCCTTCAGGCTATAGAGTGCAGTCTCAGTGTTCCAGGCAGAGGAGGCCACTGTCACCATTGTCACTGTCCATGGGTGACAGTATCCCCATGGAAGCTGTGGTCTGAAAAAAATATGCCTCTTCTCACCAGCTCTTGGGCACCACACAACACATGCCTGAGAAAATTAACTGCAACAAAACCAAAAAGCCATAGAAGCAGACAGGTATTTGATGTGTAGAAAATGATGGAGCATGGACATAAAATAGACTTGGTTCTATCAAGGATAAGGCGCTTCTTCTGGGCATGTGAGAAGCAGTAAAGAATATCAGCAAAATCAAARGCACTGCTGGTGTTAGGGGGGATCTAAACAGGAGCCTTGAGAACTGCAATTTTTAGACACTCAGGGCATCTAAAATCATTCCAAGTCATTTAGTGGATCTGGGCCTAAATGAATTTATCAGTCTATCTGGTGATTCACAGTTGGTTTCCTATGCATCAGTGCAAAATTACTAAAAATTTGACAATATAATAATGTTGTGCTCTCAGCTGGCTGAGGAAGCTGTAAATCTTTCCGTAGGTGAAAAAAAGAATTCCCTAACACCCCATGGGTTTTTATTTTGACTATTCTGCTACTAGCTACAAATTAACAACCCCTTCCTGACTTGGAGATCAATCACAACATGCCTACCTTTATGCCACTCTGACAAAAGCCACAAAACAAGATTAATGCTGGAATTTGTGTTCCTCCATGGGCATTAGCAGCTGGGCTAATATCTGCGAACAGTCATGGCCTGTCATGAAAGGTAACTAGGACACAAATCAGCAGCTAAGGGGTTTTTCAGCTTTTCACTTCCCAATGCCATTCAGCATGATGGTAGCTATCATTTAAAGCCATCCGGGTCTCGTGGTGCCTTCAGGGAGCTGCGTGTGATCCATGCAAGGAGAGGCTCTGCACAAGACATTGCTGCACACACCAGAGCAGTAATACCATGGAACTCCCTCCAGATCAGGAATCAGCCAGAACATCTCACCTCTGCCATAGCAGGCAACAAACWCACTGCTGCTAAGACAACCACAGAAAATTCAGTTATTTCAACATGGYCATGCCTACCTCAATGTAAACTTTAAAAAAGAAAATTTCTGGACATGGAATACCCATATCAGTGGGCATTTGTTTATCCTTTTGAATGCAGCCAGTCACCTGCATCCACCACCAATGAGCACATTGTTAAGTAGAGAAAAAATCTGCATTGCTTTTGGCTCAAAGGGTATTAAAGAAAGTACAAGGATCTTTGAAAGAATACTTTCAGTAGATGCCTCTAAATTATGTTCTCCCTAACTCAAGGATATCCCCATGGAGTACTGCAGTATTACTTTGGATTCTCAACAACACAACCAACAGTTATTTGTCCCGGAATTAACATTATTTCCAAGCATCAATTTATTAACCCTATATTTCTGTTGAAAACAGTAAAATCATGCCACTTYGCAGCTAACCAGTAGTGATATGAATCTCAGTGAAAAGGATCATTCCATTTATGTCCTGAAATGATTCTGCAAAAGAATCYGGAAATTACATATCCTTAGCCTCATACAAAATATTGTTTTCTAACTSTATCAGAAAATCTTAAGCTACCTGCTACAACATCTCATGGTTCAGTAAACRAACAGGATTATCTCAGTCAGAACACAAAAGATCTCTGTTCTCTTGAGTTACATTTCTGTCATTCAGTTTGCTGACATTACTGGCTATGAATGATTAAAACGTTGACACTTGAAAGGAACAGCTAGGRCTTCAAATCTTCATTTGCAGCAAAGCTTCTCTGTGCTGTTTAAAGACCCTTTGAGATCTGCTAGGAGAAGGGCACGATAAGTTCGATTCATGCTTTAGGAACTTATTTCTAAAGGTAGGGCAACACCTTTCTARTTCTGACTGCTGTTCAATCTTGGGAATGTGAAAAAAATTACTAAGTCTAATAAAAGGCCTTATTRAAAAAGAAAAATAAAAAGTAATGGAAAGTATTGTTATATTATTGTTATATAAAAACTAGTAAGAAAAAAATATGAATTGCTAATATTAGCCCCCACCTTCACATTCAAGCCTCAACGGACTTTGACTTTCCTCATGTTACTGCTGAATTAAAATTTCTTCACTTGAAGACACAATGATAATTTCATAATTCATTCTTAATTACTTTGTAATTCCTTAATTAAAGCACCTTAATTTGATTGC